CTCACTTTACACACAAGGAAAAAGAGGCACATACACGGAAAAAGAAGCATGTGAAGGGTGAATGGTTCACAGATCAGTAATGCATGCTGATTTTCTCCAAGATCATGCTCAGTTCTACTTACTGAGGAGAAAAAGTAAAGAAAAATATGGTTGATTGCAGTTGTCAATGAATCTGGGGAAGTCCAGTGAAATCTCATGGGCTGAAGTGGAATTTGACTGAGACAGTTAGGTCAAGACCCTACTTTTTTTTTTTTTTTTTTTTTTGAGACGGAGTCTCGCTCTGTCACCCAGGCTGGAGTGCTGTGGCCGGATCTCAGCTCACTGCAAGCTCCGCCTCCCGGGTTTACGCCATTCTCCTGCCTCAGCCTCCCGAGTAGCCGGGACTACAGGCGCCCGCCACCTCGCCCGGCTAGTTTTTTTTTTTGTATTTTTTAGTAGAGACGGGGTTTCACCGTGTTAGCCAGGATGGTCTCGATCTCCTGACCTCGTGATCCGCCCGTCTCGGCCTCCCAAAGTGCTGGGATTACAGGCTTGAGCCACCGCGCCCGGCAAGACCCTATTTTTAGAGAGGCAAAGATATCTTTTAATAATGTTTTTATAAATATCAAGATCTAAGCATTATGTTTTACTTTCAGTAGTCACACCTAGGATCATAGCATCATACTAGAAGACAGGGTGTTGGATGGAATCTAATGTAGTTTGATTACAAAGACAAACAGAAAAGAGCCTATCTAAAAGCCACTTGAGGGAGCTTTTTGGAGATCTTGTTAAAGTTCTTTTTGTAAAAGATAAGCTTTGAATTGCAAACCCTGCTCCCCCTAGTTATAAAGTAGCTGGGAGCAAAGGATGGTGATTTTAAAATAGAGTAAGTGTACAGATAGTATAAGGATCTTGTCTTTAGGGCCATACCAAGTAGAAAAGATACACCATGCAAAGAGAGACAACAAAATAAAATACACTTTCAAAAGTTTAATTTTGCTCATTTTAAAGTTGTATTTCCTCTATGGGATACACGTCCTAAGACTGAGGATGAAAAATGGGGATAAGGAACACTGAAATAGTCTTACAATTCTCCCAAATTATTCTCTATTCTAGATCCATACACAAGGGAGCAATTCTCTGCCTTTTTAAAAGACCTGTTCTCTAATGTTGAAATGACCATTTGTAAGAGTATGGAGAGAAAATATTAAATATAAACAGGAATCCTGGGGCCTGTAACATTGCTATGTAATCAGTATTCCTCCTGGTTCTGCACACTAACAACTCTACATGTAACGGAGTCAGTTTTCATGCATGTTATTCACTTGTATCTGTTCTGACTCTCTACCCACCTTCCCCACCTTAACTCTCATCAAAATATCTTCACTGTTGTGGGGTGGAAAACTGTCCTTAAGGCAAGAAGTCGAACCTGGCAATACAGAGTGTGGCCTTGCGCCTTAATTTTAAGAAAAAAGTACTCTGAGAAAAATCCCATTTTGCTATTCACATCACTTAGTCTCTTCTTGCATTTTGCTCTTTCTTCCAGAAATAAAGTGATAATGATGGCTCCCTAAAAAACCCTTTAAGCCTTCCCAAAGATAAGATGAGCTTCTGATTATTGTCCTTACAATAAGATGCTATAATTTGCTCTCTCCCAAAAACTACTAGGGAAAGACAACATCTTTTTACATTAGGGGTGGAGATGAGAGTATCAGCCTTTAAAAATAGGATACTTGCTTGTTCTGACTTTGAAGCCTAACACAAGGATGTGGCTTTATGTGGAACCTTTCCCCATTTGGACTGGCCCTAGCTTTAGCCTCTTCAGCTTTACCATGGTGTCAAAGTAGAACACTCATCTGGAGATGAAGGTTCTTCTTTTTTTTTTTTTTGAGATGGAGTTTCGCCCTTGTTGCCCAGGCTGGAGTGCAGCGGCACAATCTTGGCTCACTGCAACTGCTGCCTTCCAGTTTCGAGTGATTCTCCCGCCTCAGCCTCCTGAGTAGCGATTACAGGCACCTGCCACCAGACCTGGCTAATTTTTGTATTTTCAGTAGACGGGGTTTCACCATGTTGGCCAGGCTGGTCTCAAACTCCTGACCTCAGGTGATCCGCACACCTCGCCCTCCCAAAGTGCTGGGATTACAGGCATGAGCCACTGCACCCGACTGAAGGTTCTTTTCATTCTTGCTTTTACTTGTGTGATTTTGGTCAAGGTACTTAATATCTGTGGATCAGTTTTCATCAGTTATAAAATAAGAGGAGGAACTAAAGTTAAGCCAAAGGTAAAAAAAGAATAATCATTATTACAGCTTCCCACATACTTTAATGACTCTTGGAAGTTATCTCACTCAAAAGCAGGATCTGCCTTACTTTAATTTGGGTCCTTATAATAGGTCCAGCATAAGATGGCATGGTCAGAGAACATGTACAGAGAACTGTACCCCATAATTATGAAGAGAGAGGTTTGTTTGCTTTTATTATGGAATCTCTTCTATATTTGAAAAAACATATTCAATATAAATGAAAGGTCAGGGGTGAATGAATTGTGCTTTAAGTAAGTTTTGAAGACAACTGCCATCTAGTCTTTGCAGTCTGCAAAATTCTTCTTTAAGTGAATAAATGTGAGGGCAAATCTCCATCACCTTGATCAGCATCTAATACCAACCTGACACTTAGAATTAAATTAGAGAAACAAAATTGGATACTTTGAGACTTGAGGGCTGATTATACTGCTTGAGCTAAGAATGGATTTAAACTCTTCCCTTATCCCATTTAAATCTAACTAGGTATAAACTCTCCATTACTAAGGAATAGAGGTGTGTCTGCAGAGGTGGAGGTTCCCCTTGATGTTCTTGGACAAGGAAACCTAATCCTTTCTTCTGACACACATGGTTGCAATAGAAACCATTTCCCAACTGCCAGTCTGGTTTTAATCTGTTGTTTCTAGCAAGAGAGGATTTGCAGGGAATGTTAAGGAGAGAACAAAATTACCAGAACTTACTATAAAGTAAAAGTGTTGATGAGAAATCAAAATTTAAACAAGTGTTCAAAATTGTAAGCATGAACATATGCAGACACATAGTTCATGCTATAAGAATAGGACTATAGAAGTTTTTAATCTTAGGTATGTTTAAAGTCTGCTCTCAACACAACATTTATATCTCACTTTACCAAAGTTCTTTAGCTTACTCAAATGATAGCAGTGGTAAAATACTGTCATTAAATACAGTGGTGCTTCATTTAAACAACACTGGTGGAGAAAAAAGTATTCCATAGGAGAATTTTCCATATAACCAACTGCATAATACACACTTTTCTTTCTTTTTTTTTTTCTCTGAGACAGTCTTGCTGTGTCGCCCAGTGTGGAATGCAGTGGCTCAGTCTGGCCTCCCTGAAACCTCCGCCTCCCTGGTTAAAGCAACTCTCGTGTCTCAGCCTCCCGAGTAGCTGGGACTACAGGCACACACCACCATGCCCGGATAATTTTTGTATTTTTCGTAGAGATGGGGTTTCACCATGTTGGCCAGGCTGGTCTGGAACTCCTGACCTCAAGAGATCTGCCCACCCCGGCCTCCCAAAGTGCTGGGATTACAGGTGTGAGCCACCATGCCCAGCCCATGATATATATACACTTTTAAATGTTAACCATTTTGTATGAAAACATTTCAAAAGTGTATTACGGGTTTTTTCTTTAAACATACATTGAATAATATATCTTTCCCAGAGGAGTCACGGTTACCATTATTAAAAACTTATTAAAATAAGTTAAATATACTGAGCTGAATATATTCCTCCTCTTAGAAGATGGTGAGCTTTGTAGTCATACTTTCCCCAAGACCAAAACGCTTACTGTGAAAAAGTACAAAAGTAGTCAGAACTGGTTCATTTTTAATACATCCTGTGTCTTTTCTGTTAACTTCCTTCCAGTGGTTAAAAGCATATCAATCGCTGACAATAAGCTGTGTAATTTGTTCAAATCCAATTTACTTTTAAAAGAGGTGCTTACTCTGCACAAGAGACTATTCTAGGTGCTGGGGGAGATGTCAGAAATATAAACTATAGTCCTTGTCCAAGAAGCAAGGCTGACTGAGTGACACCTGAGAGTTACCAGGTGACCACCAAGGTGCAAAACACAATTTATTACTTCTAACAAAGTCTAAAAATTAGCAAATATTTCTGATTTTAAAAATCAGGATACTGAAGTTATCAAACTTGTGGTCTGAAGTTCCACCTTTTTTAGTGGGACTATGTCTTGGAAATACGTCCCACGAAAATATTATTGGTCATGGGAGTCTGCAGATAAGACTAAGAACTACTTTTTGAAGAAATAAAGTAGGTATACACTTTGACAGCTTTTGGTGCACCATAGTCTTATTGCTAGGTTTTATCTTGCTATCTAGATGGCTAAGGATGTCAGAAATCTAACCTTGCTAATTGCTAGGGTCATATAATCTAATTAATAAAATATATGTAAAAAACTGTACTATAATGCTTTCCTCTATGTATGAGTAAAACATGTAGGGCATTTATTAAACTGCATTTTACAAGGGATAACATACATCCCCTTTCCCCTGGCAAGGTTTGTTTCCAAGGTCTCAGTAATACCACATTCTTTGGGTTCTACAACACCTCTTGGCTCCTTTATTCCCATCATCTGGCTGCTTTCATTCCACAAACTCTATCTGGTGGTCTCAAGGATTTCCTTGGTTTCAAGTACCATCTGTTCTGTAGTTCATATCGCTTCTGAGCTTCAGACCCATGTATCTATTTAATGGGCACCACATTTTGGAAGTACTACAAGCACCTCAAATTTAACAGCCAAAACCAAACTGATGAGTTTTGTTGAAGGCTGTAACTTGATTTCCTAGGTTTTTTTTTTTTTTTTTTTTTTTTGCCTTCATCCCTTTTCTGCTCACTTTTCTGCTCACTTCTAAATTACACCAATTATACTTGAACTTCACCAGTACTTTGTATACCTACAAGATTATACTATACGGTTTTAATTTACTGTTTCGTCTTACCCTGGTAGATTTCAGCTCCTTATCTCCTACCTCTCCTTGGTAATTTTCAGTAGCTGGCTGAATTATAACAAAACACATAAAGGAATCCTCATTAATTTCTTCCAGTTATATTTTTACTGAAACACTCGTAAATCTGGGCGATTTTTAGGTGAATTAACAGAAGCAGGAGAACTGTATTAAATCTTATCATAACCCCAAACAAAACAATTTCTTCCATCAGGTATAACCTTCCTGCAGTCTTTCCTAATTAGGTTGAAACACCCCAGTCCTAACCACTCCTCCTCAAAACTTGGTGTTTGCTTCTTTAACACCTATTAAGTGTACATCATTTATTTATCCGATACTCTATTAGACTGTGCACATCTTGAAGGCAAGATATGTCTTTCTCTGTACTTTCAGTGCCTAGCACATTACGGTAGGGTTCAACAAAGTTCACAGGACGAATGAAATAAGGCCACATATGCCCAGTGCGGTGGTGCATGCCTGTAATCCTAGCACTTTGGGAGGCCGAGGCAGATGGCTTGGCTTGAGCTCAGGAGTTTGAGAGGGCCTGGGCAACATGGTGAAACCCTGTCTCTACCAAAAATACAAAACTTAGCCGGGCGTGGTGGCGCACCCTTGTGGTCCCAGCTACTCAGGAGGCTGAGGCAGAACAGCTTGAGCCTGGGAGGCGGAGGTTACAGTGAGCCGAGATCGCGCCACTGCACTTCAGCCTGGGCGAGAGTGAGACCTTGTCTCAAAGAAAAAAAAAAGGGGAAATGAGGCCACATACGTCTAAAAAGACCACTTACATTGCCCTCTAAAACAACTGGGAGTTCCTAAACAAACTTTTTTAAGGTTGCCTTCACAAAGCTAAGATGAGAAAGGCAGCCTACTTGACTTTCTTCCCAGTCTAAAGCGCTGCTACTAATAATCCCCAAAGAGATTCTCCTTCCAGGAAGGCTGATGCAGACATGGAATCCAGGGAAAATCACTAAAGCCCCACCTCGTTCCTGTCCCCACCTGCTCGGTAAAAACTGCACTCCGCCTGATAGCGGCTGCGCCGCGGAGCCTGGAGGCCCGGGCCGCGCCCAGCAAGCAGGAGTCGCGAGACTGGGATTGGCTCTCTGAACAGACGTCATTACGAACAAGACGGCTCCGCCCTTCTCAAGATGGCGCTGCACTCAATGCGGAAAGCGCGTGGGTGCTGGAGGTTCATCCGGGCACTTCATAAAGGATCCGCAGCTGCTCCCGCTCCCCAGGTAACCAAAGACGGCCCTTCCCTCCACGGCTTCCCACGCGCGAGGTTCTTCTCATCCCACTGCCCTCTATTTCTCTCCTCCCGCTTCTTAGGGAAAGTACGTGCCTTCTCTCGCCTAAGGTCTACTCGCCTATGACTGCCGGCCTACTCAGAGCGTAGTGACGTTGCAAGGATACGTGATGACGTAAAGGTCCCTTGGTGGAAAAAGCGCGCCGCTCCCTGACGTCTTGAGGCCGCCTCCAGTTCTGGGAGCCGAGCGCCGCCGCTGTTGCCGGGCAACGCGGTGAGGCTACCCTAGCTGTGATGTTTTCAGAGACCGGTTGTTTTAGAGACTGCTCTTCTTATCGTGGTCCTATTACTGTTTTTACCCTCCTTACCCTAACAACAAGCTAAGGGGCTATCGGAGAGGTTAGGGAAGTCTTGTTAGGCATTGGGCGGCTTAGGTCCGGGCAGCAGATTGGCAGTGTGGTACTTGAGCAAGTGTCAGTCCTTCTTCCATTCTGGTTGTTTCTCGTGACTCCACAGCACTGCTGTATCTAGCAGGTGAAAGAGTGACCGCAAGCTGCCACAGAGTTCGTCCTGTCCTGCGCTTGACAGCACTGCCATTACCATTAATCTCGTCGTATGGAGACCATGTCACGGCCTGGTCTTATTGGGATTTGTCTTAAATATTTGGAATTTTACCCTCAAAGCAAAAAAGTCAGGGGGAAGGGATACTCTTTCTGTTATTCAGGCTTTTACCAAACGTCTTCCAAGTGCAGTCTCAGTGGCAAGCACTTTGACATACGATGTCTACGGGAGATAGCTTCTGGGAACTAGAGGGAAAGGAGAGAACGTGATAATGTAATTTCCTGGCGTCGTTTGCATATTCATTGCTATAATGCGTAGGTGTGAGGATGTCACACCTATTGTAACTGTTGTGTTGAGAGCTAGACTGGAAGGTAGCCTAGAGGTCAAAGGTTTGGTCTGCCGCTTGATAGCTGTGTGAGGAGTCAATCTCTTTGGGACGTTTTTTCTTCTTTTTTTTCTCATATTGAGTGGAGGAAGAGTTGGACTGATTGACATGTTAATGTTCCTTCAAGCTCTGGGAAATCTATAGTTCCATGATTATGAAGCCAAAACAAAGCCAATGAGAGTAATTATGGAAACCAAGATTTAAGTTCAACTTATTTTTCTAATCATGTCATAAATTTTTTGAACTTCCGTTTTTTTATTGATGTGAGCCTCTCAAAATTCTTATAAGCTAATGTATTAATATATTACCAGAAAGCTCCTTGTCAACAAACAACTATTCAAATGTTACTTTAATTTTCAGCAGCAATGCTAGGCAAGACAATTAGATAAATTTATCAAAAATTAGATAAATTTATCAAGAATTCCTCTTCTTGCAATTTGAGGGTTTGATTCTGCAGAAGCAGAATTAGCTGATTATTTATAATTAATAGCACATTAACACCTGTGTTATCAAAGTAGCTAAGCCTTATTCCAAACTAAAGAACTGAAGATGTCTTGAGAATAGAGAATCAAAGAGAAAAAAGAAAAAAAGAAAAAAACTACAGCCTGCTAAAGACTGCCCAGGGAAGTTTAAGACACTAAGTCATTATAAATGCTAAAGAAAAAATTTCTTAAACCTCTACTATTGTTGCAGTGGCATTTATGAATAGGGCTATTAAAGTTAATTATTAATCTAGATTGTTTCAAGATGTAGAATTTCCAGTACAGATGAATGTTTCTAAACATTTAATTTAGCTTTGAGTAGAATAAGAATTAAATGTGGGAGTATTTTTTTAAAGTGTAAATCTACATATAATTTCAGTCATTGAAAATGATGGTTTGAAAAATTAATGTGGTCTTTCAAAAGACTAAGACACAAAATTGTGTTCATAGTGTTATTACAGTGTTATGTTTATATATAAGTGTTTATATAAACATATACGTAGAAAAAAAGACTGGAAGGGAACAAACTTTTTTAACTTTTAAATTTTGCTTTGGCCTTCCTAAATAGTGAGTTAAAAGTTATTTGTTTCCTTTTACAGCATTCCATATTTTTCACATGTCTAAATTGAAGACACACTTTTTTATAACCAGAAAAAAGTTTTGAAATCATAAATCTTTGTACAAATCTTTAGTCATTAATACCATTTGTGATATTTTAGGTTTCTGGGGAAGATACTTGTCCCACAGTGCCATTATTAAAATGGCCTTAGAAAAGGACTACTAAAAATTTATGGCCACTTTTCCTGTATGTATCTTCTTTTTCTCTTGAAAAGCTTCCTTTGAAGTCAAAGGGATTTTGTGAACAGATGCAGAAATATGTGAAAGAGGCACTGGATTCTTAAACCAGATGCATTAGACATTTTTATTATATCTCATAACCTTTGTAGAAAACAAAGATTATTTTGCAAGACTAGTATAATGGGAAAAAATGTATATTTATCATATGAATGGTTCTATCAAAAACCAAGAAATAGCCACGTTAGTTTTTATTGGCCTTGGCTGTGCACTTACTCCCTGAGTTGTGAAGCAAAAGTGAATGAGCCATAGCAGTGCTATGTTAGAAACTCTAACTAATAAAGTATTGTGATTCCTAGGTTGTTTTAATGGTTTTTAGTGTTTTCCTTTTTTAAAACAAAATCTTGGGTGAAAAGCTTGACATAGGGCATTTTTTCTTATCTCAGATGCAGGCTTTTATCTCTCAAGGCCAGATGTAAACTGAAGTTGAAAATAAAAATTAGGGAGAAACAGGAATAACAGCACATCACTCCATACTCATTATGGGATGTCTACACTTTATATGAAAACAGTTTATTTTGCCAGGTGTTGCCTGACAGAAAACTGTTGAAATCTGACAAGATGAGCGTAGTCATAGAGTCAGAGGAATTAAGACTTGACATGTTCTGTTTAAATGTTGATGGTATTAGGTAAATTTAAGCCTGTCATCATTGGCCAAACACAGAATCCATACTTCTTTAAGAACTAAGTCATGATGGTGTTGTGCAAAGAGTGAAATACTGATGGTTAGATTTTTGCAAAAATATTTGTTATTCAGTTGAAGTGTGATAAAGTGTCCACATTTTATTGCAGTTGAACATGCTTCATTATTAGCAGTGCCTAGCCTGGGTTTGGCCAGTATTCACATAATGTTCTTGCTGTTAACAATTGCCAAGTATAGCCATTAGATGAAGAATTATGCCTTAAAAAAAAGCATGGTTTAAAATTTTGGACCCTGTATTTAATTCTCACAAGACTTAAATTTTTTTAATTTAAAAATAATTTTAGATTTACAGAGTTGCAAAATTAGTACAGAGAATTTCTGTGTACCCTTCACCAAGCTTTGTCTTGAATAATCATAATACAGTTATCAAAATCAAGAAATTAATGTTGGTACAAAAATAGTAATTTAGCTACAGACTTAGTTCAAATTTCACTAGATTTTCACTGTCCCTTTACTTAGTCCAAGATCAAATCCAGGATCCTACATTGCATTTTGCTTTCATGTGTTTTCTAATCTATACATTTTCTCTTTCATGACCTTGGCACTTTTGAAGAGAACTGGTCAGTTATTTTGTAGAATGTCTCTCAGTTTAGGTTTATCTGATTTTTCTTTGTGATTAGACTGAGGTTATGGATTTTTGGCAAGAATACTGCAAAGAGATATTGTTCATAACAAGACCTTGAGGCAGGTATTGCCACCTTATTGCAAACGTGAAGAAATAGTCTTTAGTTAAGTAACTTGCCCAATGTCACACAATGGTGGAATTAGGATGGTAAGATTTAATGTAGGCATTTCATTCCATATTTTGCAATTAGTATTTGTTACTGTAGGTTTCTGCATTGTTAATGACATTAAATTGGGGTAGTGTTTCCACTGACTTTTAGCTTTTCTCTGCCATGTATTGTTCATGCAACATGCAACATGAGCTAATCGGCATGGTATGTGTTCAAGAGCTACTACAACCATCTGGGAATTTTGCTAGTTGATTACTCTGACAATTTGATGAGGTTACTTCATCTCTCGTGGCAAATAAAGGTGTTGCATGGATCCACTCTAAAGCTCCTTTTAATCTCAGTCAGTGAGTCTGTTTGTTTAAAGTGTTCTTGTGGTTGGTTGCTTTTGTGAACTGACCTAGTTTATTATAAATGATAATAATATTTAAATTCTTTGCAAAATAGCTTTGAGCAGCTAATGAAAACTACTGATAGTAACTGTTGAAAATATAGACGAAGGAAGAACTGTAGCTGAATGCTAAGGATTTATGCTAGCAGATAGTATGGCAGCCATGGCCTGGAAATGCTAAAGAGAGTGATGCTGCTGACCTCCAAATTCTTGCTCAGTGTATCTTTTGAATGACTGCAAGTTATAGAAGAGTTGTCTGCAGAATCTTCTGCAACTATATCTGCACACACACAGAGACAAAAAGATATATATTTTTGTATAAATATATTTATACACATTTATTTATTTATTTATTTAAACATCTATTGGCCAAGCACTGTGGCTGACGCCTGTAATCCCAACACTTTGGGAGGCCGAAGCCGGTGTATTTCTTGAGCTTAGGAATTTGAGACCAGCCTGGGCAACATAGTGAGACTTGTCTCTATAAAATATTCAAAACATTAGCCGGGCTTAGTGGCATATGCATGTAGTCCCAGCTAGTCAGGAGACTGAGGTAAGAGAATCCCCTGAGTCCAGGAAGGCTGCAGTGAGCAGTGATTGTGCCACTGCACAGTTAAGATCCTGTCTGAAAAGCAAACAAAAAAGCCCCCCAAATCCATCTGTCTGTCTGCCTGTCTACCTCTCTCTCTCTCTCTCTCTCTCTAATCTATCTATCTCTATATTCCTTGTCTTTTAGAAAAGGAACTAACAGCTAGTGCGTGCTATGTGCTAAAGCCTCATGGTATGTGTTACACATACTTTGTCTTATTTACTTCATACAACAATTTGTAAATATTATTCTTCCCATTTTATAAAAGAGGAAACTAAGGTTCAGAGAGTTTAGGTAATTTTCCCAAGTCACAGAGTAAGTAAATAGCAGTAACACAGTTCAAAGCTAGTCTTGCCTATGCTTTTCCCACTTTACCAGTAGTCTTTTATCAAATGAAATCTTACGTGAATCCCTGTTATATAAAACAGATAAAAGCAAAGCTTTTCTGATTTAAGAAGCAGAGGAGTATTTTTAGCCCTGCTTGTTTGATTTCCCTCCCCCCCTTACCCACCCCACTCCACAACCCATGGGCTCCTGAGACAGTGCCACACGATTTTGGATTTCTTAAGATGTAGTTTGAAAAATACTGCAGCTTCCATAAATATCCAAGTAAGTTTGTTGATCAGGACCACATATGATGGATGGATTATTTTTAAGGAGCTGCACTGTAAATGAGTTTGAGAGTATTTACTTTGATGTGTATGTATTTTATAACTAAAAGACAGTATTCTATTGATCTTAAGCTACCTGAGAGTACGTGAGATAATAGCAGTCAAACAACTTTCTTTCCTTTTCTTGCCTTCTTTCTTTTTTATAGCTTAACTTCTGCCTAACATGCTGATCTTTGTGCCCAAAGGTAATGCTTTGGATTCACTCTGTCACTGTTGTAACTAACCTAGCCTCTAGCCTCCTCACAGAGAACACTTATTCTCGTTCTTTTCTGGACTCTATTCTACTGCCACCATTCAGGAGTTCAAGACTTTCTCTTCTGAAGATTACAATATGAGGCCTAAGTCTTCCTCCTAAATTTCAACAGAGAAATTTACTCCTTTAGGGTAGATGCTGCTCAGCCACACTGTCAGACCCTTGATGCCGAGAGATAATTTATAGGTACAGAGGTGATATGCTGACTCCAGCTTGAGTTAATTTAACTCTGCTCAGGCATTTACAGTTTTCTCTCTCTACCATTTCTTAACAATATCCTATCTTTTTTTCTCCAGTTCAGAGGCTTCACAGATTTCCTTAACTTCTCTGCTTACTGAGCATAGCAAGGTCATTTATAGGTCTTCGCACTGACCCATCACCTGAGTTCTGTTAGGTTTCTACTCATTAACCAACATTCATCTGTAGCTTTCTTTTTTTCTTGCCATACAGTCTTCTGTTTTTTTCTAGAGCTACTCCTCCATTTCTAATTGAGAAAGTTCTAATTGAACTGACTTCTGGTTGGCTAAAGAACTGTTTTTTGTTTTTGTCTTTTTTTTTTTTTTTTTTTTTTTTTTTGCCCTTTTACCTCCTAAAAAGCAGAGTGAAACCAATCTGATTTTTAATTCATGGATATTCTTACAACTGCGGCTTCTACATCCTTTGCATTCTTTGCGGATGCACCAAACAGCATGCAAGAATGTCAGTTTCTTCTTCACATTCTTATCTTCATGTTCTGACTGTGACTCACTGAGGATGGATCCCTGAATAACCTTGGTTAGGTTGCTTCTTATCCCATTTTCTTGAGATGATAGGTGTAGATTTTTCAGTAAGGTAGTTGAAAGTGTAAAATAAAATAACATCTTACTTTGTAAAACATTTTAAAGTGGAATCTA